AAGACACGTGGGAGAAACAGATCAGGGTTAATTGGAAGGGAAGCCCAGTAGGGAAGACGGTGGAGCAGCAATGTCAGGAGTTTCTGCCGATAATTCGGAGGCACACCTAAAATTCATCACAAGGAAGAAGCATACTCAGGGGAGACAAGGCAGCCGTGGGTGATAAGGGAAGTCAGGCACAACATAAAAGCAAAACAGAAAGCGTACAATGTGGTGAAGATTCTTGGGAATCCAGAGAAGACTTTAAATACCAGCACAGCAGAAATAATTAAAACAACAAGGAGGAGAAGTTGGAATTTAATGATAAGCACAGATTGTTATATATATAATATAGAAGAGAGGGAGGCAAGAGCAAACATTGGACTGCTGGAAAATGAGGCTGGAATAATTATGGGAAACAAAGGTTTGGCAGAGGAATTGAATAGGTAATTTGCATCAGTCTTCACAATGGAAGACACCAGCAACATGCCAGAACTTCAAGGGAGTCAGAGGGCAGAGGTGAGAAGGAGAAGGTGCTGGGGAAACTGAAAGGTCTGAGGGTAGGTAAAGTAACCAGATTAGATGGAGTGCACCCCATGGTTCTAAGGAGATATTTGAGGAGATTGTGGAGGCATTCCTGGTGATCTTTCAGGAATCACTTGTGTCAGGGAGGGTCCTGGAGGACTGGCAAATATAACTCCCCTGTTTAAGGAGAGAGAGATGCAGAAGACAGGAAATTATAAATGGCCGGGCAAGCTGAAATTGTTGTTACGAAGGCTCTGTGGATTCTTGGGTTTATGAATATAGATAGAGTGTATAAAAGCAAGGAAGTTGTGGAGCATTTTGAAAATTCTGTTATTAACCTACAGCATAACAAGGGTTAAATTCACAAATTATATTGCAAATGCAGACTTGCAAGTACATTTGAAACAAAGGATATCAGTTAGAAGCAGACAGGAGTATGCATGACAAACAAACTGTTGCCTAGATTCTGTAGTTAGGATGTGGGGAACAGCTTGCGAGTAAACAGACTTAAACAGAAAGTATAAAATGCACGATTAAAGCTGTTGCTGTGGAGGTCCCAACATGCAACTATGTAGTCTGCATTGAAGAAGAAATAAAGACAGATATTGGAAAAGATCATGGACTTGTTCCTCATTTCCTAGCAACCCAAATCACCCCTTCCAAGTGAAGCAACATTTCACTTGTATTCTTTCAATCCAGTCAACTGTCATTGCTGCTCGCAAAGCACTCTCCTTTACACTGGTGAGACCAAACAGAGACTGCCTTGAGTAACACTTCCAGCCTGTCTTTAGGAATCACCCTGACCTTCTCATTGCTTAAAATATCAATAACCTACCTTACTCTCATGCTAATATTTCGGTCCTGGGCTGCCACAATGTTCCAATGAAGCACATCCTAAGCTCGAGTAACACCTCATTTTACACTTTGGTACTTTGCAGTCGTCGGACTTAATATTCTATTACATAAAGTCACAGCCTGGTCCCATTATAACTGTTCTCCATTTCTCATACATTCTCCCTCCCTGTGTCCCCAAGGCCTTGTCTTGTTTGTTCTTGTTTACGTTGCAATCAATAGGGAGAACCCATCTCTCCCATTCACACCTTAATTTACACCCATTTTACATCTGTTTCTCTTTCACCAAAGTTAAATGCCTGTTCGTCTTTTGCACTGCACCTCCAAACCCTCTGTTTCCTGTCACCCCTGCTCCACCTCTGTCAAGGTATTAAAAAAAAACTTTCCAATCCTTTTCGGTTCTGAAGAAGGGTCATGCTGACTGGAAACTTTATCTCTGTTCCTCTGTCTCCACAGATGCGCCCAGGCTTGCTGGGTTTCTCCAGAAATGAATAAGCACAGAATAAATTTTCAACAAAACAAAGAACTATAGACACTGTAAATCTGAAACAAAAAAACAATAATTGCTGGAGAAACTGGGAACTTTGAAGAAGCTTCATTGGATCCAACAGACTAACTCTGTTTTCACTCCACAGATGCTGCCAGACCTGCTTATTTTCTCCTCGAATTTCTGTTTTTGAATAAATGTCAAAGATGTGTGTCAAAGCTGCTCAAACGCTGTGTCCAACATGGAGCGCCATACACTGAGAAGTGAAAGATAACACAAGGTGCACAAATTCATTGGTTCTGAAATTACATAAGGATGGCATCACTGACACTACGGAGTTCTTAATCATAGTCAGGGAGAGAAACAGGGAGAAACACATTCATTTTAAACACAGGAGATGGCACTACTGGAAGGGAGAATATTCAGATAAATATGCTAAAGGGTTTTGAGGAATGTGACAAATTGGAGGCGTGACACCATGGACTGACCCTCAGAAGAATGAGAATATTAAAATGGAAGTGTTGCCACATCAGAGCCCAGAGTAGGTCACTGAGTACAGGGGTGATAGGGGAATGGGTCTTGGTGTGAACTTGGGAGAGGCAGCAGAATTACTTTGCAGGTATCTCAGCTCAAAACTGGACATTCATGTGATGACGGAGACCACAGCAGCAGGAGAAGCAACTGAAGCAGAATTGTATTCAACCACAGTCTGTAAATTTTTTGGCAGGGATTATCCCTCAGTCTCCCATTACTATCAAGCTGGTCAATGCAATGGCAAGTGCCTCAGTCAGAACCATGTGAACATAAAACTGATGGCAACCTGTTAAAGCTACTGCACATGACAGCTTGCATTCCAAGCAGCAGAACTGATGGATTATAGACAGGGCAAAATGATTGTAAGACCAACAGACCAACAGTCCTGTCACACCCTGTCATAAATGGTGATGGATGGTTAAACACCTCCCTGGAGGAGGAGGCTCCACAAATAACCTTATCCGAAATAATGGAACAGCCCCGCACATCAGTGCAAAAGTCAAGGCTGTAGTATCTGCACCATTCTCAGCCAGAAGCATCGACTGGATGATCCATCATCTTGTCATGGTGTCCACAGGATTACAGATACTAATTTTCACCCAATTGGATTCGCTGCATGTGACATCAAGAGACAGCTAAACACAGTAGATGGGCCCTGACACCATTCCTGCAATAAGCCTGAAGACTTGTGCTGCACAACAAGCCATGCCCCTGAGGGAAGCTGTTTCATTCCAGCCCCAACTCTGACATTTACCTGGCAATGTGGAAAATTACTCAACTATGTCCAGTTCCCAAAGAGGAGAATAATTGCAATCTGACCAATTATCACACCCTCAGTCTCATCACGATAGTCGAGTTGGTGGAAGTTCTTTTTGACAGGGCTGTCAAGGAGCACAGAAATAATCTGTTCAAATGTGGTTTCCAATAGGACCCCATGTGGAAATGGTGTTGTTGTGGAAATGTCACTGGATTTCTAATCCAGACCAGTCTAATGTTCTGGAAGCTGTTGGATGTTAAAAACAATTAATAAAGTGTTGAGATCTAAAATCTGGCGTCAGTAACAGTGACCTTGAAGCCAATATCGATTGTGAACAGCAATTTGCTTCAACAACGTCCTTTCAGGGTGCAAATCTATCGTGC